CCTGCCCCTTTCCCAACAGACTATAGAACTGGCCCGCAATCTCTTCCGCGGCCAGGTCGAAACGGACGGCACGGTCGGTAAGTCTGAGACCCTCAGGCATCGGTAGCACTGGGAGGGATGGGAAAGGGGTCTCCTTGTCCTCCATCGTCGTTGATCTTATCCTCCATCAATCAGTACCAGATTACTTTTTCTTTTCGAATCTTGAAAAAAACTATAAGCTCATTCTTATTCTTTCTCCTTACCTGCTACTCTTTCACTTGAGAAGCTCCAAACAGGACAAGAAAGCAGTAAACACATCTGAATTCACTGAAATGACAACAATTAACTCGTGAAAGGTAGCACTAAGACATACGATCAACTTCCAAGTCCCCTCCACAGTGCGAGAAGCTACGAACCCAGTCGTCATTGAAGTCATCCTGGATCACACAGTAGTAGATGACTGTTTTGTCTGCCTGAATATCTGAAAATGAAAAACTGAGTTTTAACCAAACGTAACGACCTGTTACTCAATGCCTTGGTTGCATAGGGTCAGGTGGGAGGTTTAGAACGGGATAACAGCCAATGATCTAAAAGAAACATATTAAACATATTGAGACTTACGATTGGAATTCCAACCCGTTCTTGACGTCCTCCTCCTCTTCCATCAGACAATCGTCTCTGAAACCACGAAACTATGAATAACATTGAGAATTACTTGCCATTCCTTATAAGAAGTATATTACTCGACCACAGAACTTCTCCCATCTTCCAATATCTCCAAATGGCACTTTGATTTCTCATCTGAGAGATAAGTGCACAATCTTGCGATAAAGCACAAAATGAAACACGTACCAATTTCATTCTCAACTTCCTTCTGGAAAGACCGGTTTCAATGACTCACCAATAGGAAGAAGCTCATAACTCTGCTCTAACTAGTCGGAATCGCATAATTTTTTTTTGAATGGGTCCCTGAAATAAGAAAAATATAAATATCATAATACTAATCATGAGCAATGAACTGTTCCTATCACAATCCTTGTATACTTGATCTGGTGGGAGCAAATGATAAGCCAGAGCCTCTACTTGACTCATCAATTGAAAAACACACACTGAAGATCTTACCTGTTACAGTATAGTATATAGTTGCATTGGGATGAGGAGGAGAAGGTAATTCTTGTGCTCCATCGTCGTTGTTCCTATCATCCACCAACAGCCGCAGATAGTTTTCTTTCCTGTAAATCTAAAGACACATAACTACATTCGGTTGAAACAGATATCTTACCTGCTGCTCATTCACTCCCAGAACTTCCAACAGGACAAAGAACCAGGGAACACATCTGAACCTACTGGAAATATCATAATAGAATTAAGAAAGTGACTACTAAGACGTACTATCATTTTTCACGTCTCCTCAACAGCTGCTCAGTCACTTCAAGAGTTCCAAACAGGACAAGAAAGCAATGAACACATCTGAATTCACTGAAATGATAACGATTAGATTGAGAAAGGG